CTTATCTGCATCGTGCGGAACATGCACTAGCTGTTGAGTCGTAATGCCAGATTGTGTCATACCCATACGCACCAGTTCTGTATATTTACAATTCTGTATAATTACAGAAACTGCAGTTAATTTACAGTATCTCCAGTTACCCAAGTTCACATGCTAAGATGCAAGATGATATTGCACAGAAGTATAGCTGTGGCTACCCAGCCTTCTTTAGTATGTGGAACCTTGGGAGGTACAGGGTACAGAGGTAGGGAATCATATGGACATGGGTTGCAGTCCCAGTTTGCTGTAGTCCATATCATAAAAATAAGAGAACTAGGGAATATGTTCCTGTTTTAAGAAGAGATGAGATTATAGCAGGAAGCTATACAGTATAGGCTTAGTGCAAGTTTGGGGTAGGAAGGTGTGTGCAACTGGGAAGCACACGTTGAAATCAGGATTCGGGATGAGAAGACAGGCAGCAGTAGTCATAAGGATTTATGGATCCATTTCATCTTCCTTGTCCATAGCTATAGAATCCTGAGTATGATTCTGTAATAGATGAAGTATTTTCTGTGAAATATTTTCATAGAATCATAGAATATTTTCGGTTGGAAGGAATCTTAAACATCATCTACTTCCAACTCATCTGCATGGGCAGGTACACCTTCCACTAGACCAGGTTGCTCAAAGCCCCATCCAACACCCCAAAGTCTTTTTCCTCAGGGCTGCTTTCAATCCATTCCTTACCCAGCCTGTATTTGTGCTTGGGACTGCCCCGGCCCAGATGCAGGACTTTGCACTTGGCCCTGTTGAACTTTATTAGGTTTGCACAGGCCCACCTCTTGAGCCTGTCAAGGTCCTTCTGGATGGCATCCCTTCCTTCCAGTGTGTCTACTGCACCATTTTGAAGCCACCTTCTGTTATCTAAAGGATATTTTGATCTGAATAGGTCTTGGACAGGGATCACCAACATGTGTCAAATCTAATCTTTTCTGCCATGACATAAACAACACTTCAAGCTGTAATAAAAATGCAGTTAGCATAATGTGCATTTTGAGGGTTAAGCAGGATGTTGTGGTCCGTAGCTGATATGCCCCTGTGCTCTGAACTAGTACATGGTTCTTGAGACCTGTTCCCGCCACTGTCAGTTAAAGACCCAGAACCTCAGGAGGAGGCTTGGAGCTATACTTATCTTCCCACACTAAGATGGATTAAAAACACACACTCAAGCCCTTGGAGTATGATTCTGGAGCTGGTCTCCTTGCTGAAGCTACTGACAACAACATTAACTTTGATAAGAACAAGGCTAAGACCTGTATGAGCACACATGATAGAGATTTAGTGGTAGCTACATTCTTGCGTGAAGGGGAAACCTTATCACTTTCGAGGCAATACTGGGTGACATGATTTTGACAGAAATTATTTTGGATTATCAAAATCCTAACATCACATTGCAGTCTTCAGCAGCCTCCAAAGGCTACATTCAGTCTGACATTTTAATGTCCTATTCATTCTTAGCACATACCAAGGGCAACTCTTGCTGCTGATGCATCATAATTGATCCAGAATGACACCCATGATAAAATGGTAATCAGTATGGAGGGCATGTAGGTTTGAAGAATAAAGTATCCAATGTTTCTCTTCAACCTGAAGCTCAGTGAGAGTCTTGGATAGGCACCTGAGGAAAGGGAGGGGAAAACATTGTTATTTATACTGAAGAGAAGACACTTGCAGATATTTGTCTTCAGTTTCCGTAGAAACTAAAGCACACACATTTCATGGGGTAATATGACATCTGCAGAACAGTAGGGAAAACGCCTTCACTAGATTACTGGTTGGTATTATAGGAAACTGTGCAGTGAATATGGTGATATCCAAGCAATTTGTATTTGGGAAGAAAAGAGAGAGAAAGGGTAAATTATTCTAGATTATTGAACAGATGGGTGAGCACCAGTTAGTTTTTAAAACCAGATGCTTAGGTCTCCAAATAAAATGCTTATCCAAACACCCAGTTTTATGTATAGTATTTATACTGAGAGGGTTAGTAATGTGCGTAGTTACTTATTTACAGGGAAGAGTTGCTCATGAGATGGCACTTCTTAATTACATCTGAACTGTGAGAAACATTCTACTTGTGGTGTCAAAAATAAATTGCAATGAATACCAGTAAGGAAATGCCTTCAGACCAGATCCATTAACTTAATTAGAACTGGACAGAATTTGTCTTCCAAAAATATTTTAAGCAAAAAAGATGATTTTTATATGTGTGTGTACATGCATACAGTATATATTTAAGATTCATGAATTGTTACAACTGGAACAAATAAATAATGAAAAAAATTAATAACTTCAATTTAAGTGTTTCAAAAAACCCAAACCATTATTTAACTTCAAATTGGAGTGTTTCAAAATTGGTGTTAATCTTACTGAATATATTTTATATATTTAGAAATCTCAGTTTAAAAAATTGTGCCTTTTTTTCACCAAATGCAAAGAGGATTAAATCTGAGTACAGCTGTACAGGAAAAATGTAGTCATTCTCACAACATTAGCTCTATGATTTCAGTGTTTGCTTTACTAGTCTTAGATATGATACTTTTAATAGCCCATCTAAAAACTCTAGTTAAATCAACATCCTAAAAAACATTTGTGAACAGACCGAGGATGCATCTAGATATTAGATCACATCCCACCCATTCTAATGCAAATATGTGCAAAATATGAAAGATTGCATCTAGAAACAAATTAAAATCTTCCTTTAAATTATGTTCATATGTTTGCATGTAAGCATTAGAAATTACATTTGCCCATATACACAAGAATGATGGATTTCCTGAGAGAGAAATTGAAGGAAGGAACAGAAAACTGTAGATTTCTCTTATCACACTCTTGATAGTTCGGTCTACTCTGAGTCATATGACAGAAAAAATTCTACACCATTTCCAGGCAGCAGAAGCATCCAGGCAGTATCAAACTCCATGCAACTATCCTTAATTGTTTTATCAAACAATCTCAGAAGAACTACTACTGGAAAAAGAAATATTTGGTAGATATATTTGTTTGCTGTGATTACTTCAATCAGTAGTAATTTTTTTTCCAGGATGAAATGCCTTCTAGTTTCACTAAAAGATGATCTTGGTGGAATCAGAATTTATTTTATCATAAAAATAAGACCAAGGTTTTCTGCTGTCTAAAGCACTCGATGTAATTTTTAGCAAAGACTCATTTAAACTTTAGTTTGCTTAACATAGAATCATAGAATAGTTAGGGTT